CAATGAAGTCTCGCCTCTTAATGCACAAAACCAATTGAGGGACAGACATTGGCCCCGCTTTGGTTTGCGGTCTGTGCTTGCATATTTTGAGTTGTGAAAAAGTTAGTGGGTGCCGAAGCTGATCTGTCGCTTCCAGCACCCCAGTTAGGAAGGAACTTTAGCGACGCCATTGCCCTGCAAGTCTTCTGCCCATTTCCTCCAAAGCCTGGGTTACGTGGTTTCCAAGAGAAGGAATGTCTTTGCCCTCTCCACGGCCCCTGGAGCCAGTGGACACACCTCCAATCAGGTTTCCCTAATATCCTTATTTACTGAGCATCCTCCAAATGGTCTTCCTCCCTTCTTACAAATCTTCCTTCCCGGTGAACTGATCCACAAGTTTGGAAACTTTTAGAACAGCCAGGAGTCCCCAGTTTTCTGCTGTGTCCAGTTGTCCCTTCGCTGCACATGGCTACAGCAGCTACCAATCCCAGTTCACCTCTCCGGCCAGAGGACCTCCTGAGCGATTCATCAGAGCCTCCTGGGTTGAACCAGGTGTCCTCGGAGGTCACCTCCACTTCCTTGCATCTCAACCCTCAGGCAGAGGCCACAGCCCGAGCCCAGCTGTATTTAGCTTCCACCTCCTCACCGCCTAATGAGGGCTTGGATAGCTTGGCTCAAGAGCTGAGTCGCAGCTTGTCGGTTGGACTGGAGAACAACTTGAAGAAAAAGGTGAGACAGGTGTGCGGTGGAGATCTTTCAGGTGTTAAATAGCATTAGGCTTTGCTATGGCTTGAATCTATTATTAGATTTAAATTATCTCCTAAGTTCACAGGTTTTCCTTCTTTCTTTCTTTCTTTCTTTCTTTCTTTTTTCTTTTTCTTTTTGAGACAGGGTTTCTTTGTGTAGTTTTGGAGCCTATCCTGGCACTCGCTCTGGAGACCAGGCTGGCCTCGAACTCACAGAGATCTGCCTGCCTCTGCCTCCTGAGAGCTGGGATTAAAGGCGTGCGCCACCAACGCGGGGCAGTTCACAGATTTTCATGCTTTCATCTCATAGATGTGTATGAGGGAATGCCATGAAATCACATAACTTGGGAAATTGTGGTGGTTCCTAGTGTTTTGTTTTTGCATGGTTTAGACATCTGCACTCTAGAGTAGGTTGGTGTCCTGGAAGTGGGGTTTAGGTTTCTTGGACTCAGATGAGAACTGAGGCAACTTCAAGACAACAGCAAAATGTGTAAAGGTCCTTTCAGCTCAAAATTTTGATTGCATGGTTCAAAATGTGACATACAAGTCATTAAAATACATGTTCCAGAGAAGGTAATCAATCGCACCAATGGAAAAGGCACCACCAATCCGCAGACAGGTTAGGTCTTCCAGGGTGCAGGATCCAATAGAAAAGCTGCACCAGGCTTCAGGCAAGCCATTTGCTCTGCAGGTGACAGCAGCTCCATCTAGCCTTGCTTTATGCCTGCTACCTTAGTCACTCACTCTCCTTTCTGGCCTCTGTAAACATTTGGGTTTTGGGTTCAAGGTTAATATCTTTAACTGCTTTCCCCAATTTTCTAAGGCCTATTTGAACCCTGGGTGTGTGTAGACTATAGATTATACAGGGTAAATGTGACTTGTGTGGGCTTCCCCCCTTAGGATGGGTCTAAGCATATCTTTGAGATGGAAAGTGTTCGAGGTCAGCTCCAGACCATGCTTCATACCTCACGTGACACCACCTACCGTAGGTCACCCCTTCCTTAGAGCTCTAGAGGAAAGCTGAGGTGTAGGGGCAGGAGATGGGAAGTGAGCACTTAGATCTCTGAGGTGAGACTTGAGAAGAAAAAGCAGCCATCCTATGGGAAGAGGTTTCGGGAGTGGAAGTACACTTTTCTTCCTGTTCCCACTTGTTCCTTCCTTTGGGGTCTCTTGGGCTGCAAGCAGGGGATCCCCTCATTCCAGGGACTGGCTCAGAGAGACGGGAAGAGGACTCCTTTGACAGTGACAGCACAGCTACCTTGCTCAAGTAAGTCAGTCTCCTGGAGGTTCCCTGGCCTTGGAGTTCTTGCGGTTCACTTGCTTTTGCTCCCCTGTTACCGCTTATTTACTTCTGGGGGGTCTCAAAAGCTTGCCATGAGTTTTCATCTTTTCTTCTGTCGATTCCTTCTGGAACCTGGACTGTCTAGTCCTTGGCTCTCTCTATCCTTACTTAGCTCACCTTCCCCTTGAAGAATACACTTGTTTCTGCTGTTATTAGACCTTATTTTAGGGCTGTGATGTGGAAGAAGGACCATCAGGAATAGATCATAGACCTCTGTGTTAAGTTTATGACTTTGGGCAAGTCTCTTGCCTGTGCTAGATCTTGGTTTTCTGATTTATAAACTGGTACAGTAGGATCTCAAAGGTTTTCCCAGTTTTGACATTCCTTATCTGGTGTGCTCAGCACCCGGCCTCTGCAAGACCTATCTCCATCCAGCTCAGCCCAGGCATTGGAAGAGTTGTTTCCCCGCTATACCAGCCTTCGACCAGGGGCCCCGGCCAACCCCCCAGACTTTCAGGGGCTGAGAGATGCACTGGACTCAGAGCTTACCCGCCGCAAGGTGAGAGGCAAAGGCTTTCTCCTGGAAGTGGCAAGGTTAGAAATAGGAGCCTTGGGTGGAAATGAGCCTGCATGCTGGGTCTGTGCTCCAGGGTGTCTTCAGAAAGACCCTCAGTGACTGTCCCGTGTAATGTGTGCCACCTCCCTACAGAAAATCATCAGATCCCTGATTCCCCTCAGCAGCTTATCACTGATACACTTCTTATTTGTTCTCCCCTCTAAAATCTAAGCTCTTCGAGGCTCAGTACCATGTCCTATTGAGCACTGGCTCTCCAAGGTCTAGACTACACCTAACAGGAAAGAAAAAAAAAACTCTGTGTTGTTGAATGGATGAGAACTTCACTGGCTTGCACAATGCTCTAGAGCTATGGGTTTATGATAATCTTTTCCTCCATGACTGCCAACCTTAATGTCTGAGGGGCAGACAGATGAACAAGAATGAAGAAAAGGCAGAATCACTGGTTGTCAATTTTGGAACTCCCTGTCATTTAAATGCTGGGCTGTGATGAAAGGCTGTCTGCTTTGTGATCAGTGAGCTCCTTAGAGTTGCAGTGTAGGATGCTGCCACACCTCTGCCAAATGGCTTATGGGAAATCCAGGGACGGGAAGAGCATGGAAGCTAACAACCATTACCTGAGCTAGTAGAAGAAGGTGTTTGGAGGTCGTGGGTCTTAAGGTTCCTGCTCTAGAATTCCTGATTCTTCCTTTTCAAACAATTCTGTTCTGGGGATCCAAGCTTCCTGTGACTAGCCCATTTCTCCTAAGGATGCTGAAGTGTCTGGTGCTGTGTTCACAATAAGAATGAGCAGCACCCACAAGCCTCATGTTTCTTTCCAGCATTGTGAGCGTCACATTCAGAGCCTGCAGACTCGAGTGCTAGAGTTGCAACAACAACTCGCTGTGGCTGTGGCTGCTGGCCCCAAGAAGGATATCATGATTGAACAACTAGATAAGGTGACAGACAGGGTGGCAAATATCGGTGGGTCTCTCCAGGGAGGGCACTGTGGAGCTGTAAAGGAGAGTCTTCCTTTGAGCTTTTAGTAGCCATCCTGCCTCAGCCTCCCAAGTGCTGGGATTACAGGTGTGAACCACTGTGTGTGCATGCTAACAGCAGGGAGAGATGGACAGGTTTTCTGACTTGGGAGAAGGACATGGCCATGACTTGTAGAAAACAGGGCAAAAGACGATTTTGAAATTCCATTTTACTTATCTTTCTCGAGACCCTGGCTCGAGTGGTGGAGGGCTGGAATCGGCATGAGGCTGAGCGAACAGAGGTGCTGCGGGGACTTCAGGAGGAGCGCCAGGCAGCAGAACTCACCAGAAGCAAGCAGCAGGAGGTCGGTGACCTGGCCCATGTGGCATTAGAGCCTAGGTCATAGATTCTAGACAGGAAGAAATGGCATTGGTATTAGGGTTTCCTAAAGCCTAGCCTCTGCTTGCAGTTGCCACTCTTACCTCCTCTTTCCTCTGCTATGATGCATCTACTGTCAGATTTTCCTAGTTTTCCCTACTTCACACTGTCTTCTCTTTGGTGCCATAGGTCAGTTAGTTAACACGGGGGCCTCAAGTTTACATTGCTTGTTATTTCTGAAGGAGAGGCATTTTCATTGTTCTATGTTTTTCTCTCCTGAAAGGCAGTAACCCGCCTGGAACAAAGCCTTTCTGAGGCCATGGAAGCCCTGACTCGTGAGCAGGAGGGAACCAGACTGCAGCAGAGGGACAGAGAGGCACTGGTGAGAAGGGGGCCGGGTGATTGCAGTGGAGGTAGTTAGTCGTGTCTAGAGACCTGTGGGCTGTCGGGATGGTCTAGAGGAATGAGTAATTTGAGTGGCACCAGGGCAGTGCTGCTCAAGTGCATCCTCAGAGCATTCGTTCTGTGATAGCTGTTAGAGTCCATCAAAGTCTGCCCTGCTGCCAGGCCAATTGGAGACTGAAAATTATGGCCTTACTAAAAATTATTCTTTAGCCCATCTAGGAGCTGGGTATGGTATCTCAGGCCTTTAATCCTGGAGTTAGACAGAGGCAGGTGGATCTCTGTGAGTCTGAGGCTAGCCTGGTCTACATAGAGAATTCCAGGCCAACCAGGACTACGTAATGAGAACCAAATACACACACACACACACACACACACACACACATTTTTCCTAGAACCCCTCCCCTACTTTTAAAAGCTAGAGGACCTAGAATCTTTGAGCCTTATACATGCTAGAGAGGAGTTCTACCACTGAGCTGCACCCTCAGTCTCTTACCCCTAGAGGCTTTGATTCAACAGATACATTGTGGGTTTCCGAAATTTCCTAGGTGATTTTGTTCAGTCAGGTGTGGTCTAGATTATATAGCCTAAAACAGTGTAGGATGAAACTTGTTGGGAGTCCTAGAGCTGAAATGGTCACATGACTATTATGTGAGTTAGTGGCCAGGCTTGGAACTTGTGGTTTTCATGACACATGCTTCCTACATGTAGATTGATGCTTTCGGTCTTAACAACTACATCTGACAGTGCTGATGGTGGAGCCTCTTGACCAGCTCCTGAGGAAGCTGGATCTTTTTTTTTTTGATGATGGTGATAGCTATTTGTTAAGTACTTACTAGGTGCCAGGCACTGCTAAATGCTTTTTATACACTATTTTTTACTTAATCCTCACAAGGCAAACAATGTGGTTATTTTCCTTTTACAGATGATGATGTGTGCCTAAGAACACACAGTATACTGGGCATGGTGGCATACACCTTTAATCACAGCATCTGGAAGGCTAAGGCAAAGAGGATCATGAGTTCAAATTCAGCCTAGGCTAGATAGCCAGACTCTGACTCAAAAACCACATAATAAACAAATATGAAAATAATAATAGTAGTAATATTAAACAAATAAGATTCAGGCTGAGATTTGAACCCAGGTCTACCTAACTCTGGGGCAGAGTTTTATATATTTATTATTTTTATTTAAAAAATTATCAGGCACAGTGGCATATACCTTTAATCCCAGCATTTGGGAGGCAGAGGCAGGCACATCTCTGTGAGTTCAAGGACAGCCAGAGCTTAAATTAGACTCTGTCTTGCAAAAAACCAAAAAGTTAAAATGGGTTTGAAGGTTTCATAAGAAGTAGGGTGTTTATATCACACATTCAAAGCCCACAATATGTTAAATCTTCACTTGACCTTCTATTTCCTTTAAAGGCACCATGAGGTCTTCCAGCTCCCCTTCACACACAGCCTGTGGTAGTGTACTCAGCCTCTTAGCATAAAAAAGCTGCCAGCTAGGGCTTATGTAAGTTTCTCTCAAGTCTGAAGGCTACAAGCCAGGAGCATTGTGCTGGGTGGGCTGTTTCTGGCTTATACGCAGGTAATTTCTTGCGACACCCTCACTTGGCAAGAAGGCAAGGTGTGTCTGCTTTTAAAATAGAACATCTTCTATTTATTTATGTATTTATTGTACTAGTCTTGTACATATAAACAAATGTGTCTTGATAAATGTGCACCAAATCCTTCCACTCCCCCAGAGGGCCTTCAGTATGTCTCCTTCGTGTTCTCCTTTCCTTTTGGGGTAACCCACTTAGTGCAGTTGGCGATACCTTTCCCACGATTGACTGGTCTTGTTGGCTTCAGTACTCACAGATCTTATGCAGGTGACCATGGCTGCTGTGATGATGACCACAAGTGCTATGCTGTGTTCACCCCACCCTGTCCCACTTCCTGACATTTCCTGAGCCTTAGGAGGGGTTGATAGTGATATGAATGCCCCCCCCATTTAGGGCTGAACATTCACTGGTCACTCACTTGCAATACCATCTCCAGTTCTGCGTGTCCAAATTAAGTGCTGCCTATGCAGAATGAGCCTTCTCTGGCCAAATATATGTGTTTAAACAGGAATTTAAAATTTTTATGTGAATGGTTGATTTGTCTGCATGTATGTATGTGCACCATGTGCATGCCTGGTACTCACAGAGGTCAGGAGAAGGCTTTAGAGCCCCTGGAATTGGAGTTAAAGATAATTGTGAGACTCAGTGTAGATACTGGTAATTGAACCTAGATCCTCTGGAAGAGTGGCCAATGCTCTTAACTACTAAGCCATCTCTCCACTGCTTAAGCATGAGTATTTAGAAGACATTTTGACATCATGTCCATTTAGCAAGACAGCAGTAGTAGGTATCTCCCACCCCCAGGACCTATAACCATCAAGCCTTGGGCTTCTAGGTTTACGGTACCAGATGTGCATTCCTTCCGGGGAGCCATGGGATGAAGTTCTTGTATTATAATAGAGTCAACTATTAGGCTTTTAGTGATCATAATTCTCAGCACTGCTATTGTCGGGGGTGGTTTGCCAGGTCTCTTGAGGACGTACTGAAGAAGCTGGCTTTCTCCTGGGGCTTTAGGAGGAAGAAAGGCAAGCTCTGACCCTGAGGTTGGAGGTGGAACAGCAGCAGTGCCGGGCCCTCCAGGAAGAGCAGGAGGAGGCGAGGGCTGGGCAGCTCAATGAGCACTGCAAGCTAGAAGCCCTTCAAGTTGCTCTAGAAGAGGAAAGGCAGGCCTGGACCCAGCAGGAACACCAGCTGAAGAAACACCTCCAGGCACTACAAGAGGAAGGCCAGGCTCAGCTGGAAAGAGAGAAGGTAGAAGTGGCAATTGGAAGAGTTGGGAAATGGAAACACACATTGGGAAAATTACTGACTAGGATGAGATGCCAGAATATGGAGGGGTTAGTAGGGAACAAGGATGGAGAATGAAGAGTTACACATGAAAGGAGTTGGGAGTTGAGGACCAGTGTGAAGGTCTGGGGGCGCGGCAGATACATGGCAGGCCAAAGAGTGGCGTTGAACAGAGATGGGGAAGCAGGACAAATGGGAGGAGGGAAAGATGGGGGTGACTTGGAGTCAGCAGCCAGCAATTAGGTGGGGAGGCATGTGCACTGAGAGCAGGCTTTCCCCAGGGGAACAGCCAGAGGGAGGCCCAGGCAGCCCGGGAGGCCCAGCAGCAGTCGGTGCTGCTACAGTCTGAGGTACGGCGGCTGGAAGGGGAGCTGGACACAGTCCGGAGAGAGAGAGACGCACTGCAGCTGGAGATGAGCTTGGTCCAGGTGAGCAGCAGAGAGTTCTTAGGGGTTCTCTGTAGTTGAGAAAGAGGTCTGAGCACAGACAGAGACTTCTTGGGAATTGTGGAGGATTTTTTTCATCTCGGGTATTAGGGACTTATCACTGGTTAATTCGGCAGTATTCTTTTTTGTTTATTTTGTTTTGTTTTGTTTTTGTTTTTCAAGACAGGGTTTCTCTGTATAGCTTTGGAGCCTGTCCTGGAACTAGCTCTTGTAGACCGGGTTGGTCTTGAACACAAAGAAACCCTCCTGCCTCTGCCTCCCAAGTGCTGGGATTAAAGGTGTGCACCACCAACGCCCAGCTCTAATTTAGTAGTATTCTGTCTTAAACACCACTATTTCCTCATGGGAGGACAGCTTCCCACAATGTAGACTGACTTACTTTAGACTACACTGGTTTAAATCTGAAATACCTTATAATACTGTTCTCATGTAATGAATACAGCCTCCCCTTTACACTGACCGCTCTTGAAGAGATGATAGATACCCACTCACTGCATGCACTAACCCCACTCCCCTCCCCAACACTCACTGCGTGCACTGACCCCCATTCACTGTGTGCACTGACTGAGCAGTTAAAAGGTTTTGTCAGACCTGGCTCCAAGTGCTTTGTATTTATCATTAATTTATTTATCCTTTTAAAAATATATAATTCATTTTATTTTATGTTCATTAATATTTTGCCTATATGTATGTCTGTGTGAGGGTGTCAGAAGCTCTGGAACTGGAATTATAGACAGGTGTGAGCTGCTATGTGGGTGCTAGGAATTGAACCTTGGTCCCCTGGAAGAGCAGCCAGTGCTCTCAACTCCTGAACCATCTCTCCAGCCCCTACCTTATTTATCTTTTAAAATTTTTGTCATTGTATATATGGTATCTCTCTATGTGTGTGTGTGGGGGGGGAGCAGTGAATATGTATAATGACACGTGTGTAGAGGTCAGAAAACAACTTTTTCCTTCTACAGGAGTTTTTGAGATTGAACCCAGGTTCAATTCCCAGTACTGTTTGAAATAATAGCCAAAAACCTTTCTGGGGCTGGAGAGATGGCTTGGCAGTTAAGAGCACTGGCTGCTTTTCCAAGGGACCCAGGTTTGATTTCCAGGACCCACATAGCAGCTACCAGCCATCTGTAATTCCAGTTCTAAGGAATCCAACACCCCTTTCTGGTCTGTGGACCAGGCACCAACACGGTACACAGGCATACCTGCAGACAAAATCCACACACAGTCAAAAAGAACTGTTTCTGCCTAACTAGTGCATCGAATGAATCTTGAGTTCACATTAGTTAAACTCTAACCATCTATTAAACCTTGTGCCAAGGACCAGGGAGTCAGTATTTTGACTCTGTGAGTGGGGAGTATGCTCTCAGTTGTAACTACTCTCCTGTTATAACACAAGGTAACTGAATAATGTGTAAATAGTGTGTGTGGCTATGTCCTGGTCAGACTTCATTACAAAAAGCAGGCAAGTGGGGGAATTAGTGGAGTTAGCTAATCCCTGGAATGGTCGTGGGGAAACCCGATATTGAAGAGCCCTGACTTGGGAACACTCTTAGTTCTGACCATTGTGGGTCTCTGTTTTAATGTATAAAATGTGTGCAAAGGGTCAGTCGGAGAGTTTCTGAGAGCAAGTTAAATAGTAGAATTAAATGACCAGTTAGGGGAGTAAGCAAGCAAGAGGAGCCAAGAATGACCCTCCAGGTTTCTCATAGCCATAGCTCAGGTGTTTCAGCAGAGAGAGGCACCCCTAAGGTAGGAACCTAGTATGTATGCCTCTGTCAGGGTATATACAGAAACAGCTGCAAAGTTTTGGGGTACATGGAGGTTTTTGTTGTATTTTTATTTTTCAGACTAGGTAGTTGGTTGGCTGGCCTTAACTTATGGCCTGACTACCAAGTGCTGGAATTCAGGCATGAGCCACCCACCGTACCTGACTTGAATGTATGGGCTTAAAGTTTGGAAAAAAGGATCAAGATAAAGTGAAAGATTTGGGAATTAAGAAATGTAGTAAAAAGCATGCCTAGAGGCAAAAGCTTATTATATACACTTAGAATAATCTGGCCCGAATGTCAGCAGATGGAAGAGAAAAGGAAGGGTGGGGCTGAAGGGCATTTGGAGGCAGAGAAGTCAACTAAGACTTAGAATGGGAAGAGAGAGGTCCTGCCGAGATAATACCATGTAGACAGAGCTTAGACTGAGGGTCAGGAGGTCCAGTGATATCATAAAAGACATATGGAGAAATAGCCATCGTGGGATTAGAACTGAGCTTTTTGCAAATGAAGTGGCCAACAGATGCCAGTGAGCTGGAGGCCTATTGGGGGGGGGGGATGGAACCTGCAGTTGTAGACGACTGACTGAATGCCTCCTGGGTTCAGGTAGAGGTAACTCATGTATTATCTCAGACGCATAATGCAAATTGCTCTAACGTTTCCTTGGTTTAATGTATCTATTTTTTCTGTCCAAAGCCACTTTTACTTTTGTGTGCATATATGATGTATCTCATGGTTCAGTAAAGAAAGAGAACGAGCCTGTGTCACTCTCTGAGGCAGATTTCTTGTTCTTCGTCCTTAAGGCGGATAAGGGCTTGTTGGTACTGGCTTTGTTTATATTTTCCACTGCTTAGAAGACTAAGCTCAAACAGAGTTGAGCTGAAAGTCAGTCCCTTCTTCCTTCCTTCCCAGGCCCGGTATGAGAGCCAGCGGATCCAGATGGAGTCAGAGCTGGCTGTACAGCTGGAGCAGCGAGTGACCGAGCGCCTGGCAGAGGCTCAAGAGAACAGCCTGCGGCAGGCTGCCTCCCTCAGGGACCATCACAGGTACTTGGGACTTACTAGATAGTGTCTCTCTGGCAGCAGCAAGTATCATTAGCTTCCTGCCCATGTGCTGAGAGCCGTTTACCCTCTTCCAGTGTGACTCCCAGTGTGACTCCCAGTGTGACTCCCAGTGTGACTCCCAGTGTGACTCCCAGCATTCTTTGTGTCCCATCCGTTAAGATCTTGCTCCCTCTCGGGAGAGTTCCATGAAGAGCTTACGGAGAGGCACATGAGAGTCCTCAGAAGGCACAGTCCTATCCTGAAGGGGCGGGGCAAGGATGTTTCCAGCCTTTTTTTGGGACAGTGCTGAAGTGTGTTGTTCACAGCTGTTGCGTATGGTGAGCCTCCTTCCTACCTCAGCCTTCTCTCACCCTGTCCCTCATTCATGTCTTCTGGAAGGGCTTCTGTTTGGGTTTTTGTTGTTTTTGTTCCTTTTTGAGACAGGGTCTCAATATATAGATTAGACTGGTATCTTGAATTCACAGAAATCTGTCCGTCTCTGCCTCCTGAGTGCTGGGATTAAAGGCATGTGAAACCAAGCTTGGTGAAATAATGCTTTCCATTATGTTATTTTCAAGTGGATGTGGATTACAATCCTGTAATCCCAGTTTGGGTGGCTGAGGCAGGAGGATTACAAGTTTTAAGATGAGCCTGGGCTTTGTAGTGAGATTCTGTCTCAAACAAACCAAACCAAGCTGATCAGCTAATCTATTGATTTCCCATAAGTCCCCACTGCAGTCTCTGGGGAAGCCATTCTGTGTCATCAGCTTTGTTTTTACCTGTCCCTGTGCTGTGGCTAGGCCAGGTGATTGCTGCTGTTTGTCTCCTTAACCTGAACCCACTGTAATAAGGGTCCCTAATGATGAGATGTCAAGTAGGAATGCCAGGGCTACACAGAGAAACCCTGTCTAAAAAAAAAAAAGGAAGAAGTACAGTATCATATATACTTTGTGTGTGGGGGGGACGGGGTGGAGGGATGGCCAAGGTCAGCATTCAGCTAAGTCAGACAATATTGGCAAAGAGAACACAGGATCCCTCAGACACAGCTGCCTAGGAACTGATAACCACAGCCCAGGGGGAAGAGTCAAGTCCCCAAAAACTACAACCTTGACTCTCTGAGGAGACACTGGCTCCAGCCCTAGACAGGCCTTGCCCAAGTTCACTCCTGGACAAGGACACAGAACTAACATTCCCTCTGTCCTTTCATCAGGCCTCTGAGAATATATTGGGTTGGTCTGGCTCCTCACATCTCGCCTTACCTACACACATTCTGTCTTTATCTCAGTGATCACACCTTTTGTTTAAAACTGGCTTTATTTTTATTTACGTGTGTAAACATGTGTCTGTGTATAGGCCTATGCAGTTATTTACATGTGTGCACATGTGTCTGTGTGTAGGCCTGTGCAGTCGAGTGCAGGGGCCTATGGAGGCCAGGCAGGGAGCTGGACCCATGGAGCTGGGTTAGAAGCAGTTGTTAACTGCCCAGTGTTGGTGCTAGGAGCCCACTCAGGTCTTCTGCAAGATCACTCTATGGCTATCTCCTGTCTCTAGTCTTTCTTTCTCACCTGGGCCTTCCTAGGAAGCAGCTACAGGAACTCAGTGGACAGCACCAGCAGGAACTGGCCACCCAGCTGGCTCAGTTCAAGGTGGAAATGGCTGAACGGGAGGAACGGCAGCAGCAAGTGGCTCAGGACTATGAGCTCAGGTACTGGTCTTTCAATGGGTAAAGCCCAGACTGGGGATGGTGAAGAGCAGCCTCTCAAATGGTCCTTAATAACTTTGAAAGTCTGATATCGTGTCCTGGCTGTGTCTTCTAAGCCTCTGTTTCCTTAAAATCCCTAAGTCATCTCTTTAATGTGTGTGTTTGGATATGTTCCTTTGCGTGATGTGTAGGCCAGAGGTCAATGTCAGATGTCTCCTTCACCTTATTTTTTGAGACACTGAACTTGGAACTCACCAATTTTGGCTAGACTGTCTAGCCATTGAGCACTTGGGATCCCTTGGATCCCCTGGACAGCACTGGGGTTCCCTGTATGCACTGCTGCACCCTGCCCTTCCATGGGGATCCTAAGTCTGGTCCTCGGGCTTTTGCAGCAGACAGGTACCAACTGAGCCATCTCCTCAGCTGCTCTCTTTTCTTCAGACTAGCAAGGGAGCAAGCTCGAGTGCGTGACCTGAAGAGTGGCAACCAGCAGCTGGAGGAGCAGCGGGTGGAGCTGGTAGAGAGGCTCCAAGCCATGCTGCAGGCCCACTGGGATGAGGTCAACCAGCTGCTCAGCACCACGCTCCTGCCTCCCAACCCTCAGGTAGGCATTGCCCCAGAGAAGAGCTGTCCTGCCCAGATAAACCGTTTTTCCATGGCCCTAGCTCACCATACTGGCCCCAGTCCATTGAGCATAGCCCTGTGATTCCAGTACTTAGACATGAATGAATAAATGAATGAATGAATATGTGATACTAGTGTGGTGGAATAATGGCCAAATTATGACAGTAAGTTGTTGCTAAGGCTCGGTAGATAGCTGTCAGTAAGGTGCTTGCTTTGCAAGATTGAGGATCTGACTTCATTCCCTAAAACCCATGTTTAAAAAAAAATAACTAGACATAATTGCTTGTGGAGAGGTGGAGGCAGAAGGTCAGAAACTTGAAGTTGTTCTCAGCTTTATAGTAAATTCAAGATAAGCCTGGGCTACATGAGGTCCTGTCTCAAAGGAAAAGCAAACCAAACCAAAACAAACAAACCCAGCAACAGCAACAAAAACCAAACTGACTACTTGAGAACTACACTCAAGTTTGATCCCTGGCCTCCACAATGCGCGCACACACACACACACACACACACACACACACACACACACACACACACACACACCAAAACACAC